GTGGCTCGGAAAGATGGCTACCTCGTCGAAAACGAAGTGAAACGCGGGAAATGTGAGCAGAAAGTACGACACGCTTCGCGCTGGATTCCGCGGTCAAAGCTCAGAGCCATTGGTGCTTCCTTTGTCACATTCGTCCAACGTGCCCGCGAGGTGGTCGTGGTGTGGGGCGATAGCTACCATCAAGGTGGTACCGTTGGCCCCACCGTTGCCGAAGCCGTGAACTATGGCGGCCCTGGTTGGAGCATCGAAGGTTACTCTGAATGCAGCCCCAATTGCGATGGATATCCTATCCCAAATGCGTTCTTGGAGTTCCGTTCCCCGAATGAACCACAGCGCGAGCAAGGCGGCGAAGTTTCACAGACAGTTCACGCCTCGGTCCAGCCTCAAGGGAGCGAGCGACTAGCTAGAAACCGTCTACCAGCTCCGATTCGGGACGGTAAAGCGACAGCGAGCGAACTTAGTATGAATAAGCAGGAGGCCAGATCCCAAAAGAGGCGCAGAGACGCGCCGATCCCGCAGCACTCCCGCAAAAAGACCACGATTCACACCATGCACAGTTCAGCCGATACGGTAATGACTGAAATTGAGATCCGCAACGATCTAGTCTCACGGATGGTGACGGCCATTCGGAGTAGAGACGCAATCCAGCAGTTCTTCGATATTGTCCACGGTCGTCGAGACCCCGAACCCACAGCGATACGAATATCTCTCACCACAAATACGTCTAAAAGACAACTTTGGATTCAAGATCCGGCCCAAATGCTCGAGAACGATGTGAAATACCTCAGTATGCTTTCACGCAAGACTACCTTTCATGACTTCCTTACTCGGTTGTTCCAAGTCCGTCTTGCCGATCATGTCGACGAGATTAGCCGTGGCCGTCTAAGGAGTGAGCCAGCTGTCATTGCAAAAATCCTTCAGCGCACGGGGATGTCGAAGCGCCAGTACCTGTACCATCGAGATAGAGGGGCGAAGTGGCGGGAATACTGTAAGGCGTTTCCAGGTATCCTTGGCTTCATTCCCTTTCAAACTCAAAAATTTAGCTTTTCTTCAACGTCTTGGCTCAATCTCGACGAAGGAGACTTTGCCTCCTTACTTTCTCATCTGAAATCCGAGTATACGTCCGCTCTCTGTGTCGCGGGGAGAGCATTTGAACACTCCCTGGATCCCGCGGCAGACGATGTCGATTTCATCTGGGAAAACCTGAGCGTATCATTGCACAAAATTTCGGACGGAGAGTTGGTCTCCATTCTAGGTCTCTTCCCAGCAAAGGACGAAAACAGATATGATCCCGGTGCCTATCCAGAGTGGCCCAGACCTGACGACTGGCCCAACGAGTCACCGTGGCCGGTTGATCCAACATCCCTGCCTCCTTCTGGAGGGGTTCAGTGTAATGTGTGTCATCAGAGCAACTGCCCTTGCGGCCTATGCCATGAGAGAAATTGCCTTTGTGCCGCCACTCGTCACGAGACACCGCCTCGCATTCGGAATTATGACGACAAATATGGGGGCAAAAATCGAGGTCTGCAAGCCGTCGCGAAGGAAGCGGGCCAAATCGCCTATTCGAAGGGCACCATTATCGCCTTCCTTACGGGGACGTTAGCGCCTCCCAATACGTACGACAACGGTCAATGTATACAGGTGGACCGCGGCGATATCATTGGCGAGCCCACAGTCGCCCAGATCAACTGTGCTGAGTCCGGCAATATCTCTCGACTGTTCAACCATAGTTGTGAGCCATCGGCCCGCTTCAAGGGCATGAGGGTATCAGGGAAGTTTAGGATCGCAATCGTTGCTGAACACAATATTTATGATGGGGAAGAAATCACTGTCCACTACGGCCAACAGTATTGGAGAAGGGCAAAATGTCGATGCCCTGTATGTCGATTAGGCCGGCGACTCTAGATTGCATATCAAGAGGGTGTGAGTATTAGGATCCGCTCCGTGGGCAACGAGCCATTGCATCAGCTCCCGATCGAATAACAATATTGTCGGTGACTTGTGGTTCTGGTGTTGAAGACAGATGATCGCTCAAAACACTATCAACATGTGGCAATGCAGCTATTCAAGACGTATAATCAGTAGAAAAGCCCTCAGCCGTGAAGAAAGCTGTATATAGCGTATATGCCCTAGAATGAGGTTTCTAGGACACCTTATTCGGCACGCTCGGGCCACTCAAACAGACATATCTACATTAGTCGAGGATTCCCAATCAGAGACGGTACGTATGCTTCCAGCGACTACGTTCGTAACACATTAAATGATCCATTATCTGCGATTCATTTACTAAGCGCCGATGTCGCCCTTTTATCTCAGATTTTGCATCCTTCGACACACACCTCTCACACACACACACACACACACACACACACACACACACACATACTCACACGCGAATATACACAGCCACAGAACGACGTGAACTAAATGAGAACGAACTTCCATCCGGCGATGCACTTCCTTTGAGCACGGAGCTCTAACAGAGCAAAGTATCAATAAAACTATGCCCGACGTCCCGGATGAGGTACAGTACATGGTTCAATCAGCATGGGCGTACTCGTCACCCCGACGAGCATCGAAGACAACACAATAAGCGAGGTGGTATATGCTACTGAGATTCCACTCCAGCGGATGGAAGTTGTGTGCACTGAAAGACTTAAGGCGAGCACTAGTCCGGCGTAGTAAACGACGGTTCTAAAAGTAGACTGCCAGTGGTACTGTGTCGTCCAATGTTAAACCAAGACTTACGAAACAAGCCAGGATCTTTTGCAAAGAAAGCCACGATCCATAAGTAAAAACTGCTCGCGGCTCCCCCCGATCGGGAAACAGGGTGATGCCGCCCTTGCTCACCCCTGGCTCGCGCGAGCCGGGTGAGCGATCTTCCGGTCAGCGTAAAATTATGCAATCTCGCCAATGGGATCAGCCAGAGGGTGCGGGGCTAACAAGAACTCAGTCCATGAAGAAAATCACCAAAAGGATAAAAGGAACAGCTTAATGCTTTCAAGGCATAGCTGCTTGTTCAATGATCCCTTCAAGCTACGGCAAGCGAATATATCGTGAAGGAAATGAAAATATTGGTAATTTGTTCCACCAGGCGAGACATTTCTGACTCTCAGCTTAATTGCCTTGCGCTCATTTTCACAAATACCTTACACACGAAGCTGATTTCGATACCAATGTCGTGTCCTTGTTCCATCTGTGAGGTGTTCAACAACACAAGTGATGATCTCCGAGCGGTGCGTCCTCCACCAATGAAATCATATTACTGGTTCCCCTAACCTGGCTTCAAAAGGCTTCTCATCGAGACAAGCTCGAAGAAGGAAGGCAGAAGCTGCATAATTACTATGGAGACAAGGAGAAGATGACAGATGAGCAAGAAAACCAAGTATACGAGAATCTCATCAAGCTGGCAAAAGAAAATGGCCTACATGATCTGAGGAAAACGCTACAAGAGCTCTACAATAGTCCCTTCTGCAACCTTTGGCCGATACGGCATATGCGATCCCGAAGCCCCCGTCAGCATGAATTCCAAAGAGGTCGGTTTCTCAAATGAAGAATTGGTTTCGATTATTGATTCGCTTGACCATCGTCTAGACCTTTGCTGGGACCGTCAGCATCAAGCCATGCCCTCCTCCGGGACCCATGCACCTCAATTCCAACGCATATCTTATCTTGGCTGGGGCGCTACCAGACAAAACTGCCATCAGCACTGCATATGTCATACCGGAATAGGCTTGGATCCAACAGGCCATCAGTCGACCAAGGTATGGCAGCGTGATCGAAATTCACAAGTTCTGAAAACGGATCCTGGCGGGAATCGATGTGGTAACGGTCAGACTCTTTCAACATGGGCCAGCCTGGTTGAGCATGATGGGAACTGCCCCAGAGGTGTGTCGTTGGCGATAAGCTGCTTTTCCCAACTCGGTGGGCGTTGTACGAGTTTCCGTACAGTATTGGAATTCTTGGTAGGTGCCACGGTGGCAGAATGAGGTCCTGGTTCGTTTTCGGAGTTTGCCACCGGCCTTGGAAAACATCAACAGGCCAGTAGTATGACACCAAGTGCCAAATTGCGCCAAAGTTGTCACTGCTTTTCACAGTGATTATTTTCTTGATCAGGCTTTCGGGTTCGATGTGCTTAAAGTTCACCAATGGGCCATAAAGCCGTTGGTGCCCATCGTCCCAGCCATTCTTCACCAGCAGAGGTGGTTTGTCAGTTTCCGTGTTGTGTGACTGATTTTGCGCAGCTGATCGCTCTCCATATATGAGAAACTCGCCTAAGACTCGACTCGGGCTCCAATGCCGCCCATCAGTCCAACGCTGAATGCCGGATGATTTTTCCTCGTAGATGAAGATTTGTCCGCCTTGTGCGACGGAAGGTCGTTCTGACGAGGTAGGTCGTCTCTTGATCACTTGCAGACTGCCTCGGACGCACGCCTGGATCAGCATCACGGCATCTTGACGGCAAACCCGAAGTATGAAGACTGGAGGTCAAGATCAGACTGCATCATAAAGGCCCAGGAAAATCTCGAGTGAGTGAGGAAGACATTGACGCCTGGAAAATGGGCAGTACTTATGAACCACATACCTCATCCAAAAAAAACAGGTCGATTTCAATTGATTCAAACCTCCTTGCATATGTGGCACAGAGTCCCGGGTGGCTGCATAAGTGACACGTCGTTATAGATGTAACAAACCACATCGTTACCGAGATGGTGATACATTGTGGAACACAAATAGTAGGACAATACTTCTTCTTTAAGTATGGGTGGCGACGGAGTCAAATAAAGAAACCTGAGGGTGCTTTCATGCTTGAAAGCGAGCATGAGACGTTGTATCAACCATGTTGAGCTAGCTAATAGGTCATGCATGAAGAGTCACCATTGTTTGATCATCGGATGGCACCACAGCCATCACAGCTCCTTGCATAGTGGGCAGATCACAAAGTTTGACACCATGTGCATCTGTGCATTTGTGAGAGACCATATAAAATTTAGTTTGGCTGGGAACTTGCTTCCCAAAAGCAACCGTCAAGCTTTTCGGTCATAAAGGATATTAGGGAGCAAGCCGGAAAATTTGGTTGCGAGCGTCCCCGGACTCAACCCGACGTGGACGAAATACGTTATTCTGTCTTCGCGCTTACTCATCCTCTGCCAAGGCCACAACTTCATAAATGTGGCTGGCTTCTTGAGCGCCTGCAGAGGTCGGGCTTTGATCATGAACTAGCGGCCACAATAATCCGTTTTATAGAGGAATTCAACCATACGTTGAACAATACTGCGTCTTTTTCCGGGAAGTCGAGCTCGAAGTCGATCGATTCCTGAGCTTTTCAGTCTACAATGCCCTTCCGTGCCCCGGCATTGGTTGAACGCTATTCCACAATGGATATCTTGCAAAATATCTTTGGGTGTTTTGGAGCTCAAAGTGTTGGGCTTTCCGCCGACCAGCACAGTACCCACCCAACGCCAGCCGATGAAAAAGAACTTGCCCGCTCGTTCCTCTCCGTTCTGTTCAATACAGAAAAGCCCGGTCGAGACCTCGAGACTCGTCTTCGAAACATTGTATACACAAACAGGTGGTATGAGGGACTTGCAAAGCGCATCCTGGACGGCCTTGTTGCCGCAATGCAGTCCGGAAAAGCCATGAGTGGGGCAATGAAAGAAACGTATGACAAAACACTCGCTATCGCCGGTGACTTTACGAAAGAACATCCTGTTCTTATTGCAGCCATACTTACAGTCGTGGCTATTGGAATATCGGTTATCTTGCACCCTGGGTTGTCGAGGTCTTGGGTTCGGAGAGTTTGGACCAGCTGAAGGTGAGTCATCCTGCAGCAGTTCTGAGATCAAGAGGTGGCGAGGCCATTCTGTTTCTGACATATGCAGGTTCATTCGCCCCTTTTGGGCACTCTACGTTTCCTGACGTCGAGGCTGGCTGGCTCGGTATGAAATGGGGAAAGGTTTGGCTGTGCACCATTCTACCAGCCAACAGTGTTGCTCGACACACTCCTCAGGAAAAAACAATTTTAGAGACGGACGATGTCGTTCCGGCTCGTCATTTGCCAACGCCCACAGAATCATGCCCAACTAGAACAAACCTGGCATCTCCCCAATGTAGAACGAGTTAGGACGGTCGATAATCTCTAGAGGCTCCCATCCCCCTCGACATTCATGTCTGCTGAAGTCAATAACCATGGCATTCCCTTGTTCGTTGACGACGAGGTTGGAAAGGGTTAAGTCGTCGTGAACATATCCCTCTGCGTGAACGTCACTCAGGCCACGGATGGCGCCCATTGGCAGCGATCTTCCCATGCAATGCGGCCGCCGAGTAGGTCGATGACTGCGCCGTTTTCGAGGTGGCTCTTCAGCACGCCTTTCACCAGCTGTTTCGTGTCATTGAGCACAACAGCTTCCAACTCCACCACGTACCCGGAATCATGAAGAGCATAATCTGTTCACCGCATCCCGGCCTGGGAACGTCTTCCCCGTGTAATACTCGTCATTTTATTGGACTCTGTAGACAAAGCCGGAAAGATGAGAGTCCAATTGGCCAACGTGCAAAAATGTGCGCAACAGTATCTCGCGATGGGTACTGAATAATTTCCTCGTTGTCTTCACGTACGTAGATATGTAATCTGGAATCGACAGTCCGGATCGCAAGTTCCGTGGTGGTCTCGAAATTTGAGATTTCGTAAAGGTTCTTGTAGATGGATTCATCTATCTGCAGCCCCTTGTCGTCTGAAGATGCGAGTCGTGCCAGGTCCAGTTCCACGCCTGGGCGGGTCGACAATTATAAGCAATTTTCACCCAACGCCAATTGTTTGAGTCTTCAGCATAGTTGAAGAAGAGTTTTCCAACATCCATGCCGAGCCTTTCGGGAAATTGAGTGTCCACCGACTCTGGGCTGGTGTAGCGGGTACTGTTGGGCAAAGGGTGGTGATTTATTGTTCTCTGCGACAAGAAATGGTCCGGTGTCAGCTATCGAACCTCCGGTGAGAAGTCTCCGCACGTTTTGACGGTTTGCAGGCTTTGTATTTTGTGACTGCCACGAAGATCCCTAGCAGTTTCTTCTTCCTGAGGCTCAAACCGTGATCTATTCAACCCTGGACATCCATCGTGAACTCACAGGAAGGCAGGAGAATATGGTCATTTAGCCTGTGAGTTTTCGTACAGGCTAGATTTCTCTGGAGGCCAAAGATTTTGTACTTCTCTCCACAGCTGGCAGGGAACTCGGGGAGCAGAATAGTGACCTGTATTTGAATATGGAGCCATCACCACCTATAGAGCTGTGTGCGCTGCTTGCCGCCATGACAAAAAGGACGCCCATAACCCATCGGATCTCGTACATTCAGCTTCTTTGAGCTTCTTACTGAAGCGTTCGTTCCGTCTTAAACCACTGGCAAGGTCTGACCCTGCTCTATAACAGCAGCTGAAAAGTCCCGCCATTTCAGCCAGCCGCCTCAGACCCAACTCCAGCTTCAGCATCGCGCATACATTGATGCAGCTCAAGCCGAGTTGTTCATGCTGGCCAGTGTCGACGGATGCTCCTCTCCGAGCACCTTTTCCTTCAGATTCAACGTCTGTCGGTGCATCTGCTCCGCCTCCTCATACGTTCCCTTGCTAACATTCGCATGCATGCAACAGCCACCCGTCGGGAAAGATCCCAACCGGGATGATGTGCTACTACGGTCATCCCATGAAGCTTTGTCTATAGGGATTATCACAGAGATCGGACAGGGTACGAAAGGCCGGAAAAACCCTCGCTGTTCTCAACAATCCAGTCGATAAAAGCACATTTCAATCTGACAGACAAGGACTGAAGTAAGCTAGACGAGTTTTACGGAGGAAGGCTGCATTTGCTAGGCAATCGCATTCTATGGATACGTGGTGGAGCATTATTAGAACTTCATGGAATGATCAGTACACGTTTCATGCATATGTTGATTCACGGTTAGGCGAAGGGAAGAGGGAGTGTATGTATGTATGTAAAATTTCCATCTGGTCAATCTATCTTTAACGAAGGTGGCTGAACCTTCTCTGCAATGTTCCTGCGGAACGATGGCTGGACTTGCAATCATCGAACGATGCCCGCCTCCATCACTCTCCGCTTCGGTCGCACTTGCACCGTCCGCTTCAATCGCAACCTCTGTCGATACGTCCGTACCTTCGCATCCTGTATCTTGCCAACACGCCTCGGAATTGCTACCAAGTCAAGCCATTGCTAGGGGTACGTATGCCATATCTGAGCATATTTGGATTTCTCTGCCCATCAATTGAGGCGGGCGTGGTGCCGGAACCGGCAACCTCGAGGTCTGAAAAGAGACCCTGGAGAGTGTGGTTATGAAAGTGTACGGAATCTATTGACATAGGCCAAGTTGGCGGAACATGATGCTCACTGGCCTGTGGATGCCCCGTAGGCGCATCATTGGCGTTGCACTGCTTTCTCCCGCTCTGTGGCTGTCCCCTTGGTGGTCATATGGTATCGAATTTCCCGGTCGGTGCCACGGTTGCAGGATGAATTCCTGGTTTAGAGCCAGGGTCTGCAATTGGCCTCGCAGAACATCAATGGGCCGGTAGTAAGACACCACGTGCCAAGTCGTGCCAGAGTGACCTGTTTCATTGACCTTGATGGTTTTCATGACCAGATTCCCCGGGCCAAAATGAAAGGAGTTTGCAAATGGGCCATAAAGTCGTCGGTGGCATTCTTCCAAATCATCGTTCTCTGGCAGTGGTTTGTGGTCACTCTCTGTGGTGTATGCTCGATTGGCCGAGGCCACCTGCTCGCCGTAGATAAGGAAGTCGCTCGGAATCCGGCTTGGGCTCCAGTGTCGGCCATCGGTCCATCGCTGAATGCCGGATACTGTCTGTTCGTGCACGAATACATGGCCGCTTTGTGCAATGGAAGGCCGCTCTGACAGGGTTGGCCGCCTGCGGACGAAGTTTAGGCTCCCTTGGAGTCAAGCTTGACTCAGGATTACGGCGTCTTCACGGGTCTCGACGAACCCAAAATATGAAGGCTGGAAATCGTGTTAGACTGCATGTCGAGTAAATCATGATAATTTTGGTGGTGAAGAACGCACGGTTAGGAGCGCAGCTGCAGTGGTGAGAGTATTTATGAACACCGTCCATGATTCAACATGAGGTGGCCCTTTTCAATCGATCCAGACCCCCTTGTATGGGTCACACCGAGTCTCGGGTGGCTGCACAGCTGGCAACCCCTTACCGATGCGAAAGACCAGATCGTTGTCGACGTGAGACATTGTGGAACATGAATGATATCGCGATGTTCTTCTGCAATCCGCAACCGTGGGGAACGATGGGCTCACATGAAGAAGTCCGAGGGTGTTTTTATGTTTGATATGCCAGCAACAGATGATGCAATCTTTATGGCACGCCTGATCGGAAATTGTCATCCCTGCATGGACTCTGGAAATCTGCCGCCTGTGTGCCTATATCAGGAGAGGTGACGACGAAACTATGGCCTTGAGTAAGATCATGCCATTTATCTCTTGGTTATACGTCGGTCTTGGTATCTCCGATTCTCAAACCACCCCTATATGATTCAGTCCCTGCCTTTGTCAAATGAGGGCAGCTTACTCGGACTTGGTCAATTGTCATGTTCGCTCGCTCGGCGGTGCTTCGAAGCTCGTCTTCAGTCGCATTTCTATTGAATTGGTAGGCCTCCTTCAGGGCAGCGAGGTCTTCGAGTCTAATGGTGTCTTAGCCAAGTGTCGACATCAGAGACAAAATTATAACCCTGCCATGTTCTGCGTCGTCGTCGAATGGGGGGCTGAGGAACTTCCGGACCATTATGGGTATCCTGTAGTAAGCCTCTTTGGCACTGTGATTCATAGCTCGATCGTCCCTGTTGCAGAACTTGAGCAACCGATGGTATACCTAGCGACTTACAAATTTCGATCGCACCCTGAAAATCTATGTACGAACCCGACCCTCTGACCCGTTCAAATTCGAGATCCGGCCTCTGTTGTACGTATTGTTCTACGTCCATAGATACCAATCTCGTTAGGTTCGACACGTTCACCTTGAAATCTTTCTTGCGAACGGCTACTTGTCCATCGTCAAGACAAACCTTGAAGAAGACCTCGGTATGAAGAATCTGGAGGGGAAGACCTTGTGTTTGTAGCTCTTGAGGGGCCGGCGGTTGTCTTGGCGTCGGTCGTTCTTGATGATTGTGTGAGCTTGCTAATGGTAATACCGGAATCCATCGCGCCTGGACCTTGGTATTATTCATGTCTGGGCCGTCGGCACGTGAGTGTGAAGGTGTCATAAACTTGAGGGACGATCGGGAAACATGTAACAGTCGATCAATCGTAGAATCGGTCATTTCATTGATTTCGTTGTTTTGAAAAGTTGCGCCTCGATTGTCCCATATGAAACCTTCCGTCGGTGGTTGTGGGAGTTCAACTTGCTCGGTGTCATTCACGGTCCGTCTGCGTTTGGCAGACCTGGTGTCGAGTTGTTCTCGAAACACGGACGAGGTCCTCTCGTCATCCCTAGGGATCAACGGCGGCGAAGGGCCTGCTGACCGTAGCATAGACCCCTCACTCCTAGACGCACGGACATTTTGCGCCAATGTTTCCATGTGCGATAGAGGTCTGATGATCGTCGACGCTTCTTCTATGTCGATGTCGTCGGTGCCGCGAACAGGGTGTAGTCGTGGGGTCAAATCTCCCTTCTGTGCAATTGATTCGCTGAAAAGGTTGCTTTCTGACACTGTGTTTAAGCATTCTGCTGCAGACAGTCGCTCTTGAGGATTCCACTTGAGCATGTGCATAGTAAGAAAATCAATCAAAAGGTCGGACTCCCAATCATTGGCGCTCTCTATGAGACTTCGACACCAGGAGACACCCTCAGATTGAAGAGTTTCTTTCTGTTTGGCTTTTCCCTTCCGCTTGGCGCTTCCATGCTGAGGGAGTCCATATACGAATTTCATTACAATCACACCAAGAGACCAGATATCCACAGCGTTTGTGTAATGTTGACCGAGGAAAATTTCTGGAGCTGCATACATCCGAGATCCACAGAAAGTCTTCAGATCCGATCCGTCCTGGGCCAATCCAAAGTCCGCCAATTTGATGTGGATCGGCGTCCTGGAACGCAAAAGGATATTTTCTGGCTTCAGGTCTCGATGTGTGATGTTCTGGCTGTGGAGATAAGAAAGGCCTTCCAGACTTTGTTTGCAGATGACCAACATATCAGTATCGCTAACGGAAGAGACTTGGTCTTGCGCTGCCAGGTTTCCCAGCGGCAGGTACTCCATCACTATGAAAGGGTTCGGTGCAGTCCTGGAGTCGACAAACAGCACGATATGGGGCTGGAGAGAGTCAGAAGAATAATAACATACAAAGATTTTCAGCATGTGCTCACATGGCGGAGATATTTCATGATCTCAACCTCCTTCTCCCAGCCGTTCTTGTGGAAGAACTCTTTTCCAGCGTATTCATACCCGGTAGTAGCGTCCAGCACCTTCCTAACCCGTCCAAAAGCACCCTTGCCCAGTTCTTCACGCTTTAAATACACCGGTCGTCTGGTGGGAGAGAGAGATTCGCTCGGTGCGAACGAGGTCCCCTGACTGCGTAGGATGAGGTTGTGGAAGGCCACTTCATGTGGAGGAGGAGCTTCGGCCATAAACCTCTTCACATTATCCTCATATTCTGTCGCATATGTCTTATAATGCTGGGGTAGGTGGACATTAAAGGCGAGCTCCCGCTTGTTTCGCAGTGGTATCTTCGCTCTGATCGTTTCATACTCTGGGAAGAAGATCCACTTGAAGTGATTACGAAGATCGTTTTTCCCCTGGCCGTCATAGCTGACAATGAGACCATTGTTAGAATCATCCCAGATTGCGGGCCGTTGTTCGCTGTCGAAAGAGATGTAAAACCGCGGTCTTGTCGACTCAAGGAGGACATCACACAGGTCAGGATCACTTCCAAAGGTGACACGACCCTTCACTTTGGTCTCCTGGTTGAATCTCAGCTGGATGCGGTGGAAGTATTCTAGTTCGTTCGCTGGAGTTTCGTCTTCGCCGTATTCGCTTGGCGTGGTCCCACGGCTAATAGGAGACGGCTTCACATATCGGTCTGCGTTGTGTGGTAAACGGAACGAATCGATCGTCAATCCCCATTCATCAAAAGGAGTTAGAGTCAAGAATATATTCAAGTCATCCATTCTGTCTCGTCGTACCAGTCCTAGGGGACGAAGAGGAACTACACTCAGGGGCGGCTACTTCCTACGCTTATACACTCTTGCTGCCTCTCGTGGAGGATGCTTGACGGCCCCAGATCGACGATCCCGTAGGTTCGCGCCGGCGCTAATAATTAGTGCGCGCTGTCCAGAATAGCTAAGACCCTATCACTTCCCCGCTCAGCTCACACCCTGAAACTGTGGTCACGTGGCTGCAGCTACATCAGTCTGCAACCCACGACTCGATGGTTTTCTCTCAATGATGAACCATTCCGTCGAATTTATTCTCCTTCATCATGACCATCACAGTATATGCGGATGAACTCCTACGTCTAACAGTCGATGATATTGGAGATGAGGAGTTCTTCGAGATTAAGGACCGAGAGAACGAGACTGAGGAACACGTAGCACATTTACGGTGAGAACACCTTTGCCTGATGCCCCCGTATCAGATTCCGGTATTAACAACGAATCGTTCGTTATAGAAAACTTTATCATGAACGCGCTGAGAAGGATCGGTCGCGGGCGGTGGATGCAGGTGAACTTGGCAGACGATTAGGGTATGAGCGATTTGCCCCAAAGGATAATACTGACCGCGACCAAGGTGTCTTCCTACCGCAGATTCATTCATCCCTTCGTTCAACCGTCACCGCTCGCCTTCCACTTCGACTATCGACGGCGAAAAAGATAAAGGGGGGGCTTGGCAAGAGCAACTGGAATCCTATCATGAGTTGGTAGCTGATGGAGGTCGACCGTCTCATCCCGTGGCTCTTGGGTGGGACGTGATAGAAAACCCCAACAATTATGAACAGTACAAGGACATTATCTGGTTTTGGCACTGGAAGGGAGGTTATTACACAGTATTTTTTACTCAACTCATGGAGTGGAGGCGATTCCGAGACATGCAGGACAAGAAGAGGAGTTATTACGTCCCACGAAACAGGTTTCAAGAATACCAAGACTCCGTCCGTGAGAGCCAAACAGACGCTGGATGGAATTACGACCTCCGAGTACTCGAGGACAGACACCAACAGAATCGGTTGGAGGACTGGAACGAGTTTCGAGCGCTCTACTATCGGAGGCTCAAAGCTTGCGAGAAACGGGTTCCGCGGGCAGAGGAAGACCTGTCAATGTATCAGAGGAAGTTTGAGGATGCCCAAGCACGATTGACCGATGTTATTACCGATCCTCAAGTCCTGTATGGCCGATTTGACGATATTCGGGCTTCAGAGAAAGAAGTGATGGAAGCGAAATCAAGAGTGGAGTCAGCCGAGAAGGCATCACAGGTGGCAAAACAAAACAGGTCAAAGGGAAAGTCAGCGTTGATGAGAATCGCGCTCCAGGAAGTCGCCTCTGCGAGGGACAATTTAAAGAAAGTATCTGGTTCCGAAGAATTGAGAAGTCTCCGCGAGGGCTATGAATTGCATATTACCCGGCAGAGCATGATTCGGTCAAAAGCCGAGTTGAGTGGAGCGGAGCGCAATGTTCAGAGATGGAAAGTGTTCTTAAAGTGGATCGACGGCCAGTATCCCGTCATCGCTGGCGAATGCGGGTTGTTCGCCCGTGGTGCAAGTCGTGTTTCTTTCCAACCCGCGAAAGGAATAGAAGATCCTCGGAGCCAGAAAGAGCGGCCGCAGGCGCGCCAGAGAAGACGCAAAAACCCGCGGTCTGTCCTCAGTCCTAATATTTCTTCGAAGGTCTCAAAATCCTCGAAATTCTCGAAACGCAGAGTGACCTCTCCCAGCTTCCGTCCGACGATCACAACCCCATTGGCCGGCCCGCTACAGGAAGATGGCCACTGCGTGTTGGTGGTTGCTCCAGCTCAGCAAGGAGATATTGACCATAGTAGAGAGTCGCGGCTGTCGCCATGTCTAACTAAATCGACACCACAACCCACCCGGAGCAGCGCTCGAATCGCGGAAAGAAAAAGATGTTTACAAGATTCCAATGCACCATCTGAAACTCTGAGAACCATGAGCAAAGATGTGCATGAGCTGTCAAAAGTGAAGCCACGAAAGGAAAAGAGCTTGAGGAGAGCGACGACGAAGAGTGGCGAGCGCCTCAAACGCAGGCATCCATCGAAACCGCAAGGCGTCACAAAGCGGAAAGGCCGTCCTCGTTGATGATGGGAAAGGAGGGAGATAGCGCGTCGGATTAGGAACGGCTGCATATTGAATTATCGATGTAGCACTTCGCAATGCATTGATGACACCATGCTAGATCTTATTGTACAACCCACTACCTGGCGGGGCCAAGCCGAAGCACCTCACCAACGCGTCCTGCCGCATCTCAACCATCACGAAGCGCGTCACCAACACCGCAGTTACTGCATAGCATCATCAGCCGTCTGGAGATTTACCCATCAACATGGACATACACAGAACTGCCTCCACGACAGCTGGTGTAACAAAAGCAGTCAGTGGCACCGAATTGGGGCCAGGCGTTAGGCATGGTGACGGGACACTCGTTGGTGATGGTGGCGACGGACGATACGATCTCGATATATCCTCTCGTGCAGCAATTGGTGTGGTATTGGTTAGTGCAACAGAAGAGAAGGAGTCGCGCGTCGAGCAAGTGGTGCTAGTGTTGACAGCTGGCTTCCCTACTAAGGAGTATAGTAGCTAGCCAGTGTGCTAGACACTCCTCCCCCACGCGCAAACGGCACTACGGCACCAAGAGAAAGGAGTGAAAAATTGTGGGGATGCCCAGTAGAACGTTTCGTGGCTTTCTGATGGATGTCCGGACAGTATGACAGTATATTGAACATGTCGTGGAGTTAACTCATAGAATGTTCACATTTCTCTGCATGAAGTTCGGGAGCACTCCACACTCGATCATCTGCGAGGCGGTATGGACATCTCGCCGCATGCCCGCTCGTACCTCGACGATGAAGATAAGCCAGCCAAAGCCAGACCTCGCCGTTGTTTTCAAGGTCTTCTACCATCATTCCGGGAGGTTTACTCCGAAATCTGTCCCAGCTGGCCGAGCTTAAAGGCCACGTGTGCCAGGAAAGGGTTCAAAAGGGACAGAAAGATCGCGCCTTTCATTTCTTCTCGGTCGAGGTCAAGCAAGCTCGGTCAGATTGGCAATACCGAGGCAGAAGTTCAAAATCTCAATAATGCCTCTCAAGCACTACACAACATGTACCTTTTGATGAAGGAAGCCGCAGAGGAAGAGCTTTTTTCGCCCATGGACGGCCTTTTCCTGCTGTGGCAAAGCTTGACAACCTCGAGTGGACATTCCTCCGGGATTGGAACCATGTTTTCGAATCGGGTAGCATCACCGTACACTGTCGCGCTCGAGCTGTAAATGAGTCGATGGAACTATGTCGTACAATACACCTCAGCAGAGTAATGGTGCCTCCGACGTTGTTATAGTAATACTCCAGAGGGATGATTCGACTTTCTGCCACGGCCTTGAGGGCCGCGGGATGAATCACAGGATAAAGTCCAGGGTTGTCAACAAACGTCTTGGCCAGACCGGCTGGGTCGGTGACGTCGGTTTTGTAGAACTTCACGATCTCTCCCGACAGCTGCTCAAGGCGGTTGAACACCTTCTCGGAGGCAATGCTGAGATTGTCCACCACAATCACCTCGAAGCCCGATTTGACCAGATCGAGGACAGTGAACGAGCCTATATATCTGGCACCACTAAGGTAGCGTAAGTAAAATCATGCTTTTGTCCCGTGCTTTGCAAGACTGAGCGCCGGTGAGGAGAATCACTTTTGACGCTTGTGGGTGGTTCGCTATACTGCTATGATAGTATCCCCAAAAAAGAGGTGATGATCACTCACTTGCAGTATCCAATAAAGTGGGAAACCGGCAATGAGCTGAGGCACATGTGACGGGAAGCGAGCTTGTGTGAGGCCTTCGATGGTGACGGATGCCGCGAAGTTTGTGAATTTTTGATGCATGAGTCGGTCGTCTCCAGATCGAGGAGGTAATGGAAGACTCCAACCGACCGACTGTCGCCAGAATACCTATGAAAGCAAGTCAGTTCTTGTTGCCTCTAACCAAAAAGCGTGAAAGGCTCACTGAAGTTGCTCATAAAAAGGACAATCCGAGTATGCATCAAACATGCAATTACGTAACGTCCTGATCGAGACCTTCCAGATGTTGTCGCTGTCGACGCCTTCAGGTTGTTTCCAGCTGACCTTGACATCAAGGGGGTAATTGACTTGCTTCGCTTTAAATGACACCATGTCGACTGGCATGCGTCCCACTGTGATTTCCAGGCACATGACCCGGAAAGTCCTGAACCAGAATGGTTCATAGGTAACAGTCTGCCTTTCAGTAAGGTCGAGAACAACTTCGTCGTACGGACCGATGAGGTGGCCGTTGGTTGAATCCAAACGATCTGCCTTTGTACGGAAGAAAGGATATGGTCGCGGCTCAAGCTTATATCCTTCAGAATACGTAATCTTCAACTTGATTTGTGATTGTTGAGCAGCTTCAAACGTCCATCGTAGGAAGGCCGTCGAGTGGATGTCTGCCTGTAGATCGAGACTGTAAAGGATCCCCTAGTAAGTGTTAGCCTTTTGCCGTCGGAAAGGAACGCACTAAAGTCTTCGATACTGATAGGACTGTGGCAGGCTCGGAGAGTATTGACCTCAACAGAACTTTCTTCGGGCATCGGAATACGTCGTGGACGAAGACGCCATGGGGCCAATTCGCCGTTGAGGGTTCTGAGGCCGTATGGCACGGGTTGGACAAGGTCAAGGTCAGAGGGAGCATGAAGGGATACACGTTCACTGAATCACAGTATTGCCGCCATCAGCATATTTCGCGGGGTTGATGAAGGGGACTTACATGCAGAGAGACATCATCTATCAGTCCCGTGGGCAACAGAATGCTGTTGTCGACTTGAGCCTGCCAGTCTTGACGAGAGGTGAGATCGACAACATCGGTGCCTGCCTCGACAATGCCAATTACTGTCAATCCAGGGGATGCTGTCCGGACCGTATTTCTCAACGTTAGCAATGCCCACACCACATAATCGGACTTCGTTGAATAGGTTGAATCCATCAGCCGTGGAAACGCTCGCTACACTCGGTAATTGTTGACCGGGGAAATTTGAGCGCGGTGAAGCCGGTCTAGAAAGAGGCCGTTGGTGATCAGGGCGACGGCAAGTTTGTGTAAAATCCGTCGTCCTTTTCGTGCCCGTTGGCGAGTATCGGCTGGATATGATCGTAGAACACTCGAACAAGCCCCATGGGACTGCGCAGAGCCAAAGTGTACCAGAACGTCCCCATTTCCCATGCTTGTTTCACGACAACGGAAAGTCTTTGTTGAGGTTGAATGGAAAGCTCCCGCTCGGTTTTCTCCAGAACATCTAGGAACTCGCGACGAACGGGGTCGTATATCTTCTCGTCCATTTGGTCGATTGCCTGATTCGCTAGCTAGCGGGGAGGGTGGACCATCTCTATGGGACAGGAGAAAGCCCACGAGATCAATAAGACATGTGATATTCCAGTTTTCATCCACAAAAATGTTGCTCTGATGTAGGTCGGTCAGGCTGAAAATAAAAGGACCGTGGCGGAGGTCGCGTCTCAGAAAGAGTGATGAGGTGGCTTTCACGGCTGCCAAAGCCGACATCTGGTAGATACAGTCCCCTATGTCGCTAACACCGTTTGGTTGATGGCGTAATCGACTATCGTGTAGACAATTTAGTCTGTCTATCACATAAGAATCCGCCGAAGTGTAGGTTAGATGACGAGGGACATCCACCGGGATCTGCTCGTTCTCTAGCTGATGGATTACCAGCGCCAGTGGCCTGTTAGCCAAAAGTAAGAATCCGTTATTGTCTACGGTGAAGGAGCCAATGCGCGGAAGTGGCACTTGAGCGATGTTCAACAAGATCCGGGAAAGGCCTTGAAAGAGGTTCTTGCGCAACCCCTTCTCTTGATACCTCTCGTTCCATGTACATGACAACATTTCACCCTTATTCTTTTCTATATAATCGATTAGAAGATAGCCGGACCCCAAGGAGTCAAAGCTCGCTCCTTGATGACGAATGTATCTCGAAGGGACGGGGAATTTCAGCCAATCAAGCAACCGGCGGTAGAGATGGTGTGCCAGCCGGAGAAGGAGAGGAAGGTGCTCGAAGGCGGTAAACTAGCGTGAGGTTAGCAAGTTTATGAAACCTAATTAACAGACTCTCTCCTCTTACCCTCTGACCTGTCGAGAGTCCGAATCCATATAGGCGAGGGATCGGGGCGGATGGACAGTTTTGCTGAAGCCAGATGTAGCTGCCGGCCTCGCATCGAAGCTTTTCGTCCGCATTTTCTGGTCCGCCCACCTTATATGGCAGTGGAAATCGAATAAGAACTCTTTTCTTTGGTTGTCTTTCCCATCTGGAGATGAAGACCGGAATACACAGATTGAAGCTGCCGTAAATCCATTCTTCTGGTTCTGCTACTTTGCATAGTTGAACATTCAATCCAAGATGATGCGCAGTGATTGAACCGCACTTGTGGTATAGTTGTTCCAGAGTCTGAAGGCCATGATGGGTTTGGCGGGCACACTGGAACAGCAGGGATCGAACGGGCCTTTTTCGATGACTGTTTGTCAGTGTCGTTGAAATCGAAATAGAAGTAGCTGACTATAATGTCCGTTCCAGTTTCTCGATGCTGGAGAATGTGTTCCAACGCCGCCGCACTTTTCCCCATAGTTAGCACCAGCTACCCACAATCAGAGGTTCGCTTCTGAGCACACCTTAAGACTGTCTTGCCCCATCCAGCTCGCCACAAATGCCAGTCTCTTTTCTACATACTATCATGGATTACTTACCGTTGCCATGAAGCCATATCAACGAGGATGTACGTATCTTCCACTTCCTGAATGGCTGTCCATCCAGTAACCACAACCCGGTCATGGCATGGCGCTTCTCCAATGCGGCATGGTAGTTGCTCGATGGATCAGGATGCCCGAGCCATTGGGACAGTCGCCGCTGCAGCTCTTCTGGTCTTACTTTAGTCGACCTCCACCCATCTTTATTCGTGCTACCTACCGTCAATATGGAGTTGTAGCCGTTCACTATGACGGGTGATGTGCTCGATTTGCGCTCGCGACGCCACCCCCTCGCTGTGTATGGCCTGTGGCAACATGCTGCCTGTGTTAACCTTCCAGTCTCGCACATATTGGAGTGGCCTGTACAATAAATCGTTGGTGAGAGCATAATTAATCAAAGATTTCAATCGTTCCATTCGTCCCAGAGCATCGTCCACTTCTGGCTTGGTCAATGTCCATGTCAGTGCCGACTCGATCTGGTCTCTCTTTCTCATCGTTAAGATATGTCCCACCATCTTCTCGAGGATACTCTTGAACCGGTCGAGCGGTCCGTTTTCCACGCCCAGCAGCTTCACCTGACGGAACCGGGCGGCGTCGCTCCGTGCTGCTTCAACTCGAAAGTGCAGCTTGATCAAGAGGCTGTAGAGGTTGCCGGCTTCCACTGCTATTTTGGCCTGCTCTCGCGACGCTTTCGGACGTCGTTGATGTGACCGGTGAGGGTCGACGTAAGCTGGAGCAGGGCGATGATGCTTGCCATCGTCGACATTGGGTCCATTGTGCCGTCACCGTTAGAGAGATCGCTAGGAGGAAGACGACGAGGGTTGGCCGTTTATCAGGCTGATTGCGATTGCCCAGGGAAATTGATGTAACAAGCCTGATCATCAGCATATCTGCTGCACTTCATAGGTGAGGAATCTGCCATGGCCACGCTGGAAGTAGTCGCACTGAGACCTCTCAAGACCGCAATAGTACAGCATGGACTGTAGTTACTAGTATTAAATGAGAACGAAACATTCATCTGGCGGGTCGCAGCATCAACGGGAAAAGGCGGCACAAACTCAAACGTCCGATCATTCATGAAACCCAGTTCGTCCACATCGTCGACCGGAGGACGTGGTATAAAGTTGAATGTTTGACTGTTCGGGCCTATGCACCGATTCAGACCAAGTAAAACATCCCGGCCACCTGACGTCGAATCGTGCCCCAACAGCCCTCGAGAACAGTTCGTCGGTCGCATATCACATGATCGATAGGTGCACCACTGGGTAATGGAGAAATACTGCTCAAGCACGCCAGTATATACCTCTTTGGAAGAAGGGAAATTACTGTTGCGACCTTCGGGCTTGGTGAAATGGATTACGCCCAAAAGAGCAAGTGGAAGCTGAGCTGTGGGCTCTCCGTCTTGCTGCTGCGGCTATTCCTCGACCTCTTCGATATATCGCTTCCTCCTTTTGCTCCTCGAAGAGTCAAGGAGCTGGGCGCTTCTTTGCTCTGAGCCAGATCTTGACTCGATAAGGCCTTAGGATATATCGACAACGGCTGGCCAGGTCCCAGAGCAGCAGCTACTTCCCATTGTTGGATTCCATCTTCACGGAAAATACCGTCGTCATGGCCAGTCAAAGGCCGAGATACGTCAACATGGCACTGAATAGTATCGTCCAAAGAAGCTATGAGGTCTCCATGCTCTTTGGGCGATATAGAGGACATTTGGCCGGAACATCTCGCAGACTTATCAACATATTCATGTTGACAGAGTCTACAAGACCACCATCCAACTTAATAACTGGTTCGTCTAGAAAATATTCGCTGTTTTGAGTATAGTCTAGGCTTTCTTGTTTGATGTTGGCTGTCGTCGCGGTCGCTGTTGATGGGTCTGCGAAACCACCATCAAGCTCCGGAACTGGTTCGTATGGAAAATGTGCGCTGCTTCGAGTATGGTCAAGGTCTTAATGCAGCTCAGACGGCTGAGGGGTCTCTCGCCAGCAACGGCACGGCTGTTATTCACGTGCACGGTCGCGCCAGTGGTCGACTACGCCTCCAACGTCTGGATGCATGTTTATAAGGATCACTCATCGGACCCGTCAACAGAAAAACAACACCGCTCACCACTCTACCAAGTGGCGGATGCTCTCCAGGACGTGCTGATGGAGGAATTGGAAACCATCAGACCATGCCCAATACCACCTTGGGAGGAAAGAATACTCAAAGTGGTCGATGCATCGGCAGCACGACATCCGGACACCGTCCAGGCGGTCCATATCGCCGTGAGCAGCTCAGCGCGGAATGGCGTCGTCGGAATAGGTGGGGCATCGAGAGATGCATGCCAACACACAGTGGTCTAAGCAACGGGATTGGTTCCTTTTCATTCACATTTGGCACAAGTGAAGAACAAAATCCTTACTCTGGAGAACTTGCCGCGGTTGGCACGGCTCTCGGCACGCTACCAGAGCTCCGATTTTGCAGTGTCATGCTAACAACGAGAAACAAGGCAGAGGCGCTGGCACTCCAGAAACCTCGACAACAGTCCGGGCAACAATATATTCGACGCATCTACAAATCAGTCAGAGCACTGAGGAGATACGGGAACACAGTTGCAGTCTGCTGGCTACCGTCAAGTGAAGAACACGAACTGATGAAGCTTGCCAAGGAGAAGGCAAAAGCCGTAAAGAGACAGGGATGCACCCCGCAAGACGCAACACCGTGATGCGATCGACGGCACTCCGTCTGACGCGAGCTAAGCTGGATACCACCAGAAAATTACCGGAAAAGGTAGGAAGGCATTCCAAAAGAGTTGATGCGGCATTGCCAGGAAAACACACACGCCAGCTCTACGACCGACTACCGTGGCACGAGGCCACTGTGCTGCCCAACTCAGGACAGGCATGGCACAACTGAACACGTACCTGCACCGAAACAAGGCGGCGTCAGCAGATCAGTGTGAATGCGGACAAGCGCGAGAGACGGTAGACCACTTTCTTTTTTGGTGTAAGACGTGGAGTTCATATCGCACGGAGATGACGCAGTGTACCGATATCCATAGAGTTAATATTTCATTCTATCTAGGGGAAAAACGGCAAGAGATGACAAGAACTGGACTCCCAACATGGACGCCGTTCGAGCAACGATAAGATACGCGAAGGCCACAGGCCGGCTCGATGCACACCACTAACCCAGCTTGACACACCTAAACCACATCAGTTACTCACCTACACACCTCATATCTACTCGTGCTCGGGAAAGCAGACGCCGCTTCAGCCGCCGAAGATAGGACGTTGAACACTTGGAGAATATAACCTTCGAGGCAGTCTACTGACCAAATACCTAATTCACGAGAACCCGAAGAGAAATGCCAAAGGAGGAAACAGAAGCTATCGGTGAATTATGTATGGGCTTTACGAGATTAAGATTCGGTATAAGAAATGTGTAAGTAGTTTAGTGATAGTAGCCCTTTCGGCTTAGTCGCCGGGCGTTAATAAATTGTGCGTGTGTGTGCGTGTGCGTGTGTGTGTGTGTGTGTGTGTGTGTAAGATGTATCGAAACCGTAAGCTCTGCAATACAGCCACTTCGATACTCCCTGCCACACTGTTTCGCATGTAATATGAGCTGGCAGTAAGCCAGCTCATGACACGCCCCCTAGTTCGAGACATCCCATTGATAGCGCTTATAGATCCAATTGGCGGCCGTAGGGAGTCACCATGATCGACTTCAATCCTTGGGGTACCGTGTGATGGAACTGCATGTCATGCTCTTGTGGAATTGTGGAATATTCTCGAAGTTATCTGGAGAATACCATCATTAGCGCTGTCGAGCATCAGATTGAGGATGGGTGTCTACTTACCGACATTAGTGAATATAAACGAAGGACCATACTTCCCTTCCTTGACCAAGTCCAAGAGGAACGGGTAGTGCTGCAGGGAATCAGTTAGCTGCGCCTTAGCATCAGGGTGGGTGACGAGGTCATACCTTCTGCGCCATTAGCTGTCCACCGCGTAGAGTGATGGTCTTTTCCATCAACATGCCAATGGGGAACATGTTCGTGTTGAAGAAGAAGTCTCCGATCAATGCCACAACTGAAAGGCGGTCATATGGCAAGAGCAGGAAAAATAAGATGTATAGCAGTTGATGTACTCGCGGCGCAAAGTCGATTACTTGAGTCCCAAAGAACTCCGCAATTCAAATATCCAAACGTATTTTCGCTCTATATGCTGGATCTTCGAGGATGTACAGACGATCGACAAGTCGTGATTAGACCTGGAGTGGAGGGTTGCTGCAAAGCGAATTGCTGAAAGTATGTCGCAAGCGCCCGTTGTGAGCCCGCAGCGCAGTCGAGCCGAAGACGTCGACCTTCCGGCCATTGTCATCAAAAATCCACTACTATCTTCGTTCATTCCCACGACAGGCCACCGTGATGGCTGCCGACGACCCATTTCAGATATATACGATTTCCAAATTGTTGACCCACGAGATGACTCACAAATGCAGGATACTGACGGTGTTCACCGTGCCGATGTGTCTACCCTTCCCAACTCCCTCGAAGCGAATGTAACACCAACTGCGGTTGTCGGCGACTCACGGAGAGAGCCCGTGTCAGAAAAGAGATATTAATTGCGTACACCAAAGTTGTCCTGCCTTCAGGTGGTAGAATGGGATTAAGAGAAGGCGTATAACGAAAACCCCCCAATATATCTTCATTATCCGATCGACTAGAAGGTGACTGCAAGCCCCAAAACAATTGGCAAAGACACCGAGCTAGATGTGGTGCTGGCACCAGGTCCTTATTGGCGGCTCTTCCTACGATCCCGGGTCGAGAAGCTCCTGCAAAAGAAAGTATCTCCCCAACCGAAGCGTCAGGTGTGATGACACTAATGCTGTACTCTCGGTCAGCGACCGCATCGAGCGCGATCTCACCAAGCGATTTAATGAGACCGACATTAACTAGGTCCTCGTGGAGAAGCGACTCATCCTCTGGGAGGCCTTTTTCGAGCGGGCAAGAAGCTTCGGGTAGACCTATCGTTCAACTATATCGGAGCTGGTCGGCCCGTAGCCAGCGCTTCTGGTAAAAGAGGAGTGAAAAAGGTGTAATCTCAGCCACGTAGCATATACGCGCCGAACTGGGTGCACAGCTCGACGCTGAAGAGAGCGTGTCATAGACCAGGCTAATCTATATGATCCAGGCGGAGCCATGTGAGATATATATACACGGTCATTTCAAAGCTTTACTGTGTAGTCATCTTCGTTCTTGATCATACCCATACGTTTGGATATCGATCAGCTTCGCTCTAGTCTAGCGACCCGCTCTTATACTCGTGCTCTTACAGGTATACACTCTATACTTCCCACCTGCCAAGGAACCCTTGTCTCGTAACACCACCCAGTGGAGCGATTCATAACACTCTTACTTTATTTTTCAATTTATTGAAGAGAATAATAAATCTTTTCTATTTTTGTTATTCTTAAATAAAATAGATTCTGAAAGTATATTACTTTTCAAATATGTTACGAGGCGACCACATGGTCGCAGGCAAGGCCGGTAGAAGAAAGTAACCCGAGAGGCCAGGCCAGGAGAGACATGGATATCATGTGGTGTGCTCGGTGCTCTGTGCGGACCTGGTGGACTGCAGGCAGAGCACGACAGAGCCAGCGGAGCGTAGCGCTCATTGGACGGTGAGAATCTATATAGTCACGCTCTCTCACCCATAGTAGATAAGACCTTCGTGATCAACCTAAGTCTATAGTCGGACCCTATGGTTCTCAATGCTACGACTGCTATAGACACCACTGTGGCCCGGCTAGGGAACCTACGTGAATGCACGGGAGCCTTCGGGCTCCGGTCCGATTCATAACACAGTACCCTGGAAGATAGAATCCCTCGGTCTTACATCATGTCTCCAGGCTGGGGCCTAGATGCTAAAAATAGTATGCGCGTCCAGTCCTGATATGTATACCCCCTTGACGAGACACTTCGACGCTTGACACGATGCTAACCATTCTGCTCGTTCAGGATGGATTCCAGGGTCTTCTTCAAATCATTGTCCCTTCTCGTTCCGTCTGGTTTGCATGCATACAACAACCCACGGTCATCCACATCTCTTGGTTCGCTGGAGCGGATACCTTTATCAACCTGCAGCCCCTGAGTCATGTCGGCGGTTAGAATATCTTTGGATACCCTTATTCTCGTCGGGTTTACCGTCAATCTTCTGGAAATGTCCGCCTCTGCTCCCCGGTGACTAGCCAGCTAGTCCAGATGCCACATTTCCTTGAGGATGCGTCGTGTTAGACTGTTTTAGGTATAGTCTAGCCTGTACTGACACACGCATGTCGCAGGCTAGACTAGATAGTGTTTTCATAGGTCCAACTCCGTCAACACATGCAGATATGGGTGTAGGTCACATTCGGGCCCCCGACTGGAGCCTTGGATAGCAGTGGTACGTTGCCCATCCCGCAGGCTCTCATTCATCCAATCGGTGCCGTGAAGAGCCGTGCTCAAATTTCAATTGGCCAAAGATAAACCCCTGCAGAGCCTGTAACATCTGAAAAGCGTCTTATGCGGCTCGCTCACCCTACATCGACCCATGTACGCGGGAGCGCGCGAAAGGGCGAGGCTATTTTTCCACGTAGAACTGTGGAAGTACGGGGGGTCTGTGTCTCAAAAGTGGAGACTCCATGGTGAATCGTGGGTCGGCGAGAAGACAACAGGTTCCGTCACTACTCAGAAGTGTGGTCAGCTTTACCAACCACAAGTTCCTTCGGTAGCCTCTGACCACGGAATCTGATTGGTCTCGACCAACAGAACTAGCATGAAACACGCTAAATGCTCTACGCGCCAATTATAGGAGCCTTAGGAATGACTTAGCGAAGATTTTCGTGGTTTCTGACTGCACAAACGGATGCAGATATCCTTTTGCATGGACGGCAGCAACAGAAAGGAACCAACAGCCCCCGACAGTACGTATGGGTGCGACCTACCTTGGAATATGGTTGCGAAATATGTGAGTTCGAAACCTTAAGTTACACAAGAAGTCGAAGCCTTGGTGCCACGAATCCCGGCGGAGTGAAACGGCGGAACGTCATACCGTGGAAAAGCCCTGGCAGCAGGAAGTGATTTACAATGGAAACTTGTGGGACAGAGGAGGCTATGAGATGCACCACTCTCTACTAGCCGCCTATCTCATAAAAACTGAGGGTGGAAGGGCTTCTATAGACACAGTCAGGCTTAAATATCGGAAGCAGCGTGTGGAAGGTGAAGTCCATTCTACTTTGTTCGTACTACGCACGTGACTCCCATTCTTGAGAAGAATGGTTATACGCCCGAGGGAACCGGTCATTATAAGTCGATCCTCTCCGATAATCCCACCTGGGCTTCGCACACTATCTGCGTGGACTTGACTCTTTCTGCTATCACCTTTCGCATGATCATCGGAGACGTGAGCATTGGCTGAGAAGCCGCTCGGCTGAATGATTTTACGGGACTCCTCGCCTTATGAGGATCAGGGCATTCCCTCCCGTAGCGGCCATGTTGTTTGCCATAGTTTCCGACATTTCCTTTTGACTGCGTTCAGTTCGACGACTTTGCATGATTGTTCATGTCTCACGGAGGACGGCGTTTTGGTGTCACAAGATTATCCCACTTCGTCGCAACTTGTCCATGCTATTTGCAGGGACGCTGAAGCATTTCTTCGAGCTCTTTCATTCACAGTTGCCGCGAATCCAGAAGTGACACACGGGTATTCTTCAACCAACAGCATAACTGAAGATAACACTTATTTTCACAAAGATCATGAGCTCCCTTCAGACGACTCCGTGCCTGATATAAACCAGCCTGCAATTAAACCACCACTAAGGTCCTTGGAGAGTTGCTCGGTCCTCGAGACGGAAACCCCTTCTTCAGCAGGCGTCGACGGGTCTCTGATATGTAAGGAAAGCGGAGCGTTTATTGTCTCGCTCCCGGCAGATGATATTGAACGATCGAGTAGAGGCCAGGTTGGTAAGCAATTGAATACGGGAAATCCGGGCACCTTAAACCTGGTGGAAGGACTATCTAGCTCAAGCGAATTGAGTTCGGAGATGGAATCTAATGATAATCATGATGAAGACGATGACGATGACGATGACGAAAGGGAACGCGGCCAACAAGAATCACGGAGACAGCGCGGGAAGACAAACGAGATACAAGCGAATGTAGAGCAGCCTACAGACGAAGAGGAATTAGAAGAAGGTGGCGTGGAAAAGAATAAGGACTCAGACGACGAAGAGGAGGAGGAGGAGGAGGAGGTCGAGGAGGACGACAGCACAAACAGGGCATGCCGCCCAAGAAACTTGAGAAGAGCGTCCCTTTTACAAAACCCCACGAGCAGGTCGTCAAGGAAAAGACCCCGACCTGCCACTCCAGTACAGACACCAACAAAAAGACCGAAATTTGATGACGCACACAAGTCGGAAGTTCGGTCCATGTCCTCTAAATCAAGAGTGAAGAATTCTTCCTTGGACTCCTCGTTTTGGTATGACTGGGATATTAAGAGGGGATCTTATGCACAGCAGGAGAACCATGCGAAGCACCCTATCAAAGCTACTCGAGTTTGGCAGCGACTTACGTCCCTGCCTTTCGCACCGTCCAGTGGCAGGATTCAGCAAGGCGTGTCTCCCGGTCGTGTTAATACATTGGTCAAAATGGTGCTGGCCGTGGCCAACGGGCACGCCTTTGGAGCATTGAAAGAGGTAATGACTTTCATTCAGCGGAATGAAAGAGCCACCATGGCTGGAGTGTTCAGCCAAGATCCTAAAGTTCTTGTCAATGCCGTCAATAGTGTCGACTCAGCGGATAACTTGAACAGTTATCTACGGAGATTCGCGTTGGCTCGACTGGCCAGATTGTATGCTGAGACGGTCGCGAACAGAGGTCGCTTGGGGCACGACAAGGATGGCACGTGCTTGTCGCTACGGACATCGACAAACAAGGCATACAAGGCCGCGGCTTATGTGTCTCTGATCCAGTATATCTGGGACGTGGCTTTTCCTGCTAGATTTCAGGGGAGGAATAAGAACAGGAGTGGCCTTATCGATTCCGACGAATCTGATGCCGTTCGGTGGAACCATTACAAAAGAAAGTTGAGCAAACAGATCGAAGCCGGCCAACGATGGCTCAAATTCGCCGACAAATTCGGGTGGTCAGCTCTAGGGCTGGTGACCCGAGACTGGTTCATTGAGGAGAACAACGTGCTAGCCAATGACCGAATGTGAGTATAACTGATTTGTCTGGCTTTCTGGGAAGACCCGGCTGACGGGAACAGTTTCGAAGAGATCCTGGCAACATCGGAGCATGGAACACTGTTGGACGAAATAGAGGCTGTGAAAGGACGATTTCTGCGGCAGCTGAACAAGGCTCTCGGCGGAAGCTTATTTGACCTGCTGGAGGATTCGAGTCGCGCACAAGGATTGCCTCTGTTGAAACTTGATGACCATGATATTTTGACACGGCACGACTGCGATCAGTCCTGGCTCGATGACTTTCACTTAGAAGAGAAATAGCAAGCGAAAACAAGCGAACCAGGTAATCTATAATGGAGATCCCATATATTGCAACACTCAAGCTAAAAGCCGAGCATAGGGTAGTTCCATATTCCCACCTGGCTTGTGGAGGTGCATAACTCTTTTGGCCCCCTATAACTCCTCTCTTCTTAACTCGCCATTCTGTGACCCTACAGCAATGATCCTCCACTGTTCACCAGGACCGTCGATGATCCGCAACGGACCCTCCACCCATTTGTCAACCCACTTTTTGCTTAACGACTTAGCATCTGGACTGAGCTCAGGGGAGCCACCAAATTCCCAGTACAGATCCCCGCCAAAGCGCTTCGGCACGTTTTCAGGTCCGGGGTCATGGCGCAAAATCGTTGCACACTCCCCATGACCAAGGACTGCTATTTTTCTTGTGGTTGCAGGTTCAAAGCAGATGGTTATGAATCGCCAGATAGTAGGGAAGAAGTTCGGAGCACCGACGACCTATTTCGGTGTGATCAGCGTGGCACAACGTAGTAAGAGTCAGTATATTCCTTTTGTGGAGAGTGGAACATCGAGAAATGTTCGCACTCACATATATTCTTTTTACGGTCTCTAGATAGTGAGCTGTCGCCATGTTGCTAGCAGTACTAAGAAGCTTCCGTAGCCTCCAGAAAGGTGACACCCCAACGTGCGACAAATCGATGATGTTGATCGAGGTATTGATACGTTCGTGCTGTAACTTTCCGCATAATGGCTGCACAAATTGTGTCACGTATTCGGCGGCAAGGAAGATACTTGACAATGCCGGGTCCGTCTTATGCAATGCAAGGATGTCGTCTGCTTCGACTTGAGACACGACATATACCATGATAGGTACTCCGGTAGCATCTCGGTGGCCGGTCCATTGAGGTTGCTAGATTTATCTGTCTGAGTTGTTGCGTTGCTAAACGGGAGCTGAGCGTTGGTCCGTACCAGTCGTCTGACAGTCTCAAATCTCGTGATGCCGACATCATCATAAGTCTTCTCTAGCTGGATATCATGGCGCCATTTTGCCGATGCAGCATATTGCTTGAATGCGGTATGGACGTCGTGTTTCCGTGCTCGTAAGTAACGCCTAGGTCGAAGTCAGGCCCAAGGGGGCTGGACCACCACCAGGTAGAACCTGGAAAAATAGAACGCCTCCACTTACAAAAGATTTGACTCCTCGAAATTGTCATCCGGGGCATATTCTCGCACCAGTTCGCTCTTTGGCCAGGTTACAGAATTTCTGCGGCATAGTTCTTTGAGTTCTGCAAGTGCTCTTTCCTCGCGCTCGACGGCGGATTCAGTGTGGGAAATGGACTTCTGGGATGCATTGGTCCTCGCCCTGCTCAGAGAGGCAGTACTTATCGTTCTGAACATTTCAACCAAATATCAAGGGACG